TGGCAGTGCTTTCACTCAGAGCCAGAACCACTGTGTGAGAAAAGCTGTTGAAATCTGGGGATGAATGGTCACGGTGAAGGTGGTGACTGGTAAGCCTGAAAGCTTCTCTGGTGAGATACAGTGGCAGAGGGGAGTAGCAGACTGGAGAATTGCACTGGCTAGTACTGAGTGTGGGGGACTCAGTCTTCCTGCAGGGGTGGGCAATTGGCTGGGGGCCATTTTGGACTTGGGCAGGATAAGTGTAGAGCCAGAACTGCAGCCTGCTTCCTTCAGCCACTCCTAGCTTGGAGCAGACTGGTAGAAATTGCTTGGATTCAGTCCCACCCCTGTACTTAGTCCAATAGACATTGCCCATCCATAAAGGTATGCCCAACTATCACGCGCCCCCCCCCCTTGCAGATATTTTACATCATGAGGGCTCCCTGCTCTTAACCAGCTCAGGAGGCAGGTAGCAGCCTGCTCTGCACCCTGATTGCAGTCCAGTAGCCACTGGTGAACCCCATCAGGCTGGGAAAAGCAGAAAATGGCTCTACACCAGTGCACCCAATGGTCACCATCAGATATCCCAAGCTAGCATGTGCTAGAAAAAGCAAACAATCTCACTTCAGAGAAATTGTAGCCAACACAGGAAGTGCCATGGACCCCACTACTCGCTTGTCTGGAAGTATTTAGGAACATGACAAGAGGAAGAAGCAAAAGGCAGCCTCTGGCTTAATGCAAGAAGTTCTGGTCCAGGAGATGTAAACACAGAAGAGAATGGGAGTCACATACCTGAAGTTTCTGAAGCAACAGCAACTGAAATAAAGAAACAACTTCAAGAAGCTATAAAAGAACTTAGAACAGAAATACTATCTCAGGTAAAAGAAGAAATGAGAAACATAATAAAAAAGTAAGCACCTCTTTAAAAGACACAGATTGGGGGCTGGGGATTTAGCTCAGTGGCATAAGTGCCTGCCTTGTAAGCAGGTAGTCGTGAGTTCGATCCCCAGTACCGATTAAAAAAAAAAAAAAGACAGATGGAAGGATAGTGGAACAGAGAAAAATGAGGCAAACCTTCAATGAAGAACATAAATAAAACTTAGAATACATGAAACAGATTCAGAGAGATTACCAGGAAATTAAAAACTCCATTGAAAGCTGGTAAAACTGCTTGAAAGAAACTAAAGATAGAGTAACAAACCTTGAAGCAGGTTTGCAGCTTGTGATTGTGAAAAATAAGATCTCAAAAATAACAAGGAACCAGGAAGTAACAGTACAAAGGCTACAAGATGACACGAGAAAGTGGAACTTAAGAATAAAAGGCTTGAGTTAAAAAGCAGGGGTAAACACAAATGAAATACAAAGGCTATTTACAGAAATAATGAAAGAAAACTTCCCCAGCATAGGACAGGAACCGATATTCAGATAAGTGAGGCGTACAGAACTCCAGCCAGCTATAATCAAAATAAATGTATACCCAGACATATAATAATCAAGATTCCAGAAATTCAACACAAGAACAGAATATTAAAAGATGACAGAGCAAAGAAACAGAACACCTATAAAGAAAAACCCCTCAGAATCAGGACAGACTTTTTGACACAAACCATCAAATCAAGAAGAGCTTGGAGTGAAGTATTCCAAGTTCTGAAAGAAAATAACCTCCAGCCCAGATTGATGTACCCTGAAAAACTATTTTTCAAAGTTAATGGAGAAACAAGATACTTGCAAGGGGAAGACTGGACTGGTTGTCACGTGCAGCTAAACTCTTTGACAGATATGCTGGAATTAAAGGAACACAACTCTAGAGGAAAAACACCTACTAATGCTTGGCCTCTTTATATTAGGGTCCCCTGGTGAGGAGCATTTCAGTGATTACCCAGTATATAGTACTTCATGCTTGACATGTCACTGTCACTCAAGGACTCTGTGTGTGGTAGTAGACTGTATTATTATTATTATTATTATTATTATTATTATTATTATTATGGCATCTATGTCTATGACTGTCATGAACCCCAGGTTGAGATAGCAGTGAAAGTTCTAGAGGTAAGGCTTTATTGGACCTTGTTGTCATAATCACTGACCTTAACTGACAACCTAGACCAGTGATGATGAAACACGTAGACAGTGAGTGCCCAAATTGCAACGCCAAACCCACTTATCACAAAGCACCAGCATTGCCCCTCCGGGTGCTGCTACCCAATGCTTAGCTGCTTGGGTTGCCTGGCAACGTAGCTCATGGGCTGCCACAGCTCCGCATGCTCACTGCAGCACACGTGCCATGGGTTCAGTACCACTGACCCAGACTAAGGAAGCCTCCACTCTTGCCTAATACTTGCAAAATCCAAAGCCAGCCATGTATGACTTTCTTCCAGAAAAGATAGTGACTGCTTGTTTCCAAAAGACATCCACTTTGCGTTAGAAGGAAGACAGCAATCCTAAACAACTATTGCAGTTGGCAAAGTGCTCAATACAACTGCTTTTTCTAGGGAAAGGAATTCATTCTGTTGCATGAAAGCAGAAATTTTAATTGCGATGGCTTCATTCAGTTGGTGACGTTCACCATTTACTTAAGCATTTTAGAGATGACTGTCATTTGAATGATTCCCAGTTTTTGGTTATCATGAAATTCTTATAAACTTGTATGGATATGAATCTCAGCAGAAGAAAGCACTGAATTGTGCTAGGTACACCCCAGAGTCGACCCTCTGCACATAAGCATCTCTTATAGTTTAGTCTGATCACCCTGGATTTAGCACTCCATTCTTGGAAATCTCAACTACTTAACCTGTATTCTCTTTAGTTTTCACTTTATGATTTTTCCCTTCATACATTAGCAGTCCATCACTGGTAATCTGCATGTGTATATACACATCTTAACCTTGTTGTCTGTCTCCTCCTCTTGAAACACCCTCCCTGTGCTCCTTTTGCTCCCTTTCTTGTTGCAAAAAAAAATCTTTTTTTTTCCCCGCCCTGAGAGAGTCTGACTACAACAGTTCACATCAGCCTTAAACTCACCATGCCACCATGGCTGGCCTCAAACTCATGGCCACTCTTCTGCCTCAGCCTTCCAATTGCTGGGATTACAGATATGCACCAACACACTGCGCTTTCTCTTGAATTTATACTTTGGGTTTCTCATATGAGAGAAGGTATGTGATAAATAAGCTTGTGTGGCTGATTTATTTCATTTAAATTATGGTCTCAAGTCACATTCATTTTTGAAAAATGACTCAAATTTACCCTTATGACAATGGACTACATTGTGTATGTCACATTTTCTTTACCTGTCTCTTTGTCAATAGACATATAGGCTGCTTCCAAGATTTAGCTATTTAGTATGAGTTGGATTGCTATAAACATGGGCATGCATATAACACTGTAATGTGATGCCTTTGATTCTTTCTCAAGAAGAGTCCTAGAAGGGAATAGTGGGTGAAACAGACTTTCTAGTTTTAGACTTTGAGGAATCCTCTTACTGATTTCTTATAGTGAACTTTCTAGATTGCATTCCCAAGTGTAGAAGGGTTCTTTCCACTCCCCATGCCCAGCCAGCATTTGTTTAATTTCTTGATGATAGCCATTTTTTCTAGAGTAAGATGGAATCTGTTGTTTTAATTTGCATTTCCCTAATGGCCAGAGATTAATAGATGTCTTCATGTATTCACTGGTCCAGTTTTGTACCTCTGGAAAGTACCTGTTCATGTCAGTTGCCCATTTTTTGACTGAGTCATTTTCTGAGGGGTCTGTTTCTTGGCATCCTTTACCTCATTTAGATATTAGTTTCTACATTTGCCTGTTGTTTCCTGTGCTGTGTAGAACAATGTGCTATAATCTCAATGATTCTTGTTCTTTCTTGTGTAATTTTTTCTTTAGAAAGTCCCAGTCTACTTCAAGGTCCACTGATATTATCTTCCAGCGGTTTTTTGTTTGTTTGTTTTTCCTTTTTATCGGTACTGGGGATCGAACTCACGACTGCCTGCTTGCAAGGCAGGCGCTTATGCCGCTGAGCTAAATCCCCAGCCCCTTCCCAGCGGATTATTTACTATTCATATCTTTGCTCTGTTTTGAATTTAGTTTAGTATATGGTGAGAAAGATGGGCCTATATTCACTCTTCTGCACGGGGATAGAGTCTTTCCGGCACCTTCTGCTAAAGGTGGTATGTTTGTCCCAGCATGGTTTGGCCCCTTAACCACAGATCCGATGGCTGAATGCACAACAGGGCTGTTTTTCCATTTTGTATTCTATTCCGTTAATCCATAGGTCTTTTTCTGTGTGGGGATTTCTCTTCTGGGAATGACCCTACCACCATTTGGAAGCAGCTCTAGCTGCAGGTTTGGTTAAATGACACTCATGTTAGACACAAATCTCAACAAAATCAGAGAATTTATTACAAGGATACAAGGCTAGATTAATATTCCTAACTAGGCCAAAACATCATATCAACAGGTTATGGAGAGACAGGATAAACAACTATGACACTCTTTTCTTTTCTTTATTTTTTGATGCAGCTTGGCTGTGTAGTCCCAAGTTCACCTTAAACTCACAGGGATCCTCCTGCCTCAGCCTCAGGAGTGCTGGGATTACAGGCATGCACCACCATGCCCAACATAACACTCATTTTTAACGAAAGATTTCAACTGGGGAAGATTTCTGTTTTCTTTTTTTGTTTTTGTCTTTTTGAGACAGGGTCTTGCTGTGCAGTTCAGGCTGATCTTGGGCTCACTTTGTAGCCTAGGTTGGTCTCAAACTCGCAACAATCCTCCTGCCTCAGTTTCCCAAGTGCGGGGATTACAGGCGTGAGCCACCACACCCAGCTTGGGGAAGATTTCTAAAGTAGATAAAGAATATCAATGTGAAACCATATAGCTATGATGCATAATACTAAACACTGAATGTTTTCCACAAACATTAATAACATGGTAAGCATATCTACTTTTATCATTTTATTCAACATCATGGAAGATCCTATAGTACAATAATAAGAGAAAAGTAAATAAAAGACACACACCAGAAACCCGTTTGCCAAATTGTTTGCCATTTTATTAAAAGAATCTTCAGCAATGTATGAAAATTACTAGTACAGTTACAGAACTAGTCACTGAGCTATGCAAGGTCTGATTCGAGGTCATCATCCTAAAAAATAAGTGTACTTCCCTCTAATGCCAATGATCATACGAAAGATATTAAAAATTTAGAATGAACCTGGATACAACAGCATTTATCATCCAAGCTAGCAGGAGGCTAAGGCAGGAAGATCACCTGAGCCTGGGAGTTAGAGCCCAGCATGGGCAACACAGAGGCCCCACGTCTTGAAAAAAGAAAAAGAATCCGTTGATGTCACAGAAAATGGTCCCACAGAAGATGTCAACAATGAAATTGGTGGGATGCCCCTGTAATCCCAGCTATGCTGAATACTGAAGCTGGAGGAGGGTTGCAAGTTCTAGGCCAACCTGGACAATGTAGCAAGATCTTGTCTCAGTATTTAAGAATTAAGGATTAAATTCCTTAAGAATTAAGGAAATGGCTTAGGAATAGCTCAGTGGTAAAGCATCGATCTACCATGCCTAAACTTGGGGTTCAGTCCCAGTATCACACTTACCCCCTAAAAAAAAGAAAAAATAAAATAAAATGTATCCAGGATTACCTGAAAATTACAAAATATTTATGAAATAAATTATAGGGCATTTAAAGAAAAAACCACATTCATTGACTAGAAGGATCAACATACAAAACATGTTATCACCAGAATAATCTAAACACTTTTAAGGCAATTTCTACAAAAATAACAAAGGGCAGGGGGTTTAGCTCAGCAGCATTAAGTGCCTGCCAGGTAAGTGCGAGGTCATGAGTTCAATTCCCAGTACCAAACAAACAAAAAACCAGCAAGATGCTTCCTAAATACACAAATTTAAAGTCACCTCAATAAAACTGATACGTAAATCTACAACGTTTACCAGAGCAAAAATAATAAAATCAATTTATGTTTAAAATTTAGTAGATAGCTATCATAAAACAAGATACCTATAGCTTCAGTACTCAGGAGGGTGTAGCAGAAGGAATGCCCTGAGGATGTGGCCAGCTTGGGATACAGAGCACGTCCAAGGCCAGTCTGGACTACATAGTGAGACCCTGTCTCAAAACAGCAAGAGACAGAGACAGAGACAGAGACAGAGACAGAGAGACAGAGAGACAGTGAGAGAGAGTGAGAGAGACAGAGAGAGACAGAGAGAGACAGAGAGAGAGAGGAAAGAAAGAGAATGGTACTGACAGAGGTTTGGCCTCTGCCAGTAAAACAATCTACAAAACCAGATTATTACCAAAGAACATAGAAACAGACAAGAGTGAATATGCTCAGTTAATTTATGACTAAGACAAAAATAATTCAAGAGTCAGGACAGTCTTTAGAATAAATGGTGCTGGGACAAATGAATATAGATACTCCTCATTTAATGACCCATGTGTTAAATGGATGTTCAGACTGTTTGCACTTACCCGTCCTTCTTTTGTGGGGTAGGGGTATAGTTCTTGTTTATAGAACCCCAGTATCTTTTTTGGTACAATATATCTTGTTTATACATTATGGTAACTTTTGCTGATTATACTGTGAGTACTGTATTTTATGCTGTCACACATTATAGTACCACATGTGAAAGGTATACAAATAAAAGCAAAATCATCTACCTGGAGTTTCCTTTGACATTACACCTACTGTGTACAATTCTTCATTTAGTGACCAGTTAATTTAATGACCTAGGTGCAGGAATGGAAGTCTGTCATTACACAAGCAATGTATGTATTCCTCAACAACAAAAGAAATTAATTCAATGTAAGCCTTGCATAATACAAAAATCACTTTCATATAGACCAGTGTCAAATGGAAGAGGTAAAGTAGAAAACTTTTAGAAGGAGCCATACACCTATAACCAGCCACACCTATAAACTATAACTAGGAAGTGATGGGGTGGGATGGAGTTTAGTGCACAGGCACTGGGTTCCATCCCCTAGTACCACAAACAAGCATACAAAAATACCCTTAAGGTAACATTTCAGCATATACGAGAAATAGGTGACTGAGGCCTTTTCCTAAGAGTGGCCACTGAATTCTCATAGGTGATGTAGAAGACTAGAAGACTGCAGACTGAGTCATTTTCAAATATGACTCTTTAGACAACAAATGATTATTTATATTTTTATAGAGATGAGGCTAACCCAGTTTCTCTGTGGTATGAATGATCAGAGGCTCTGATAGATGATTCCCTTGAACACTCATGTTCCTCTGTGGTTACATGAAGAAAATCTTTCCCTAATATGAGCCCTTCAATGTTGACGGAGGCTTGCACATTTGGGAAAGATTTTCCCTCATTTCTGACGCTGGTTGAGTTTTTCCCCGTGTGCATCCTTTGATGGTACCTGAGGGAGGAGCTGAGGCTGAAGGCCTTTCCACATTCACTACATTTATAGGGCTTATCTCCAGTGTGGATGTTGGAGTGCTGAATGAGGTTTGTGCTTCGTGAAAAGGTTTTCCCACACTCCATACATTTGTAGGGCTTCTCCTCATTGTGAATCCGATGGTGCCTTATCAGGTGTGACCGGCGGTTGAAGGCCTTCCCACACTCCATGCACTCATATGGCTTCTCTCCTGTGTGGATGCTAACGTGGCGGATGAGGTCTTTCCGATTGGTGAAGGCTTTCCCACACTCTTTGCACTCAAAGGGTTTTTCTCCAGTGTGGGCCCTTCGGTGCAAGGTCAAAGTGGAATAGTGAGCGAAGGCCTTTCCACACTCACTGCACACATAAGGTTTCTCCCCAGTGTGGATGCGCTGGTGCTGCCTGAGGTGTGGTTCACGTAGGAAGGCTTTCCCACACTCCACACACTTATAGGGCTTCTCCCCAGTATGGATGACATAGTGATGAATGAGTCCTGCAATCTCACAAAATCCTCTCCCACACTCATTGCACTGGAAGGGCTTCACTCCCTTGTGAGTCTGCTGGTGCCACGTGAGGTACGACCGCTGGTTGAAGGCCTTGCCACACTCTGAGCACTGATAGGGCTTCTCTCCTGTGTGGAAGATCTTGTGACGATTGAAAGCTCGTCTATCTCGAAAGGCTTTGCCACACTCTTTGCACACAAAGGGTTTCTCGCCAGTGTGCATTCGGTTATGCAAGACAAATGTGGACCGGTGGGCAAAGGCCTGGCCACACTCAGTGCACTTGTAAGGCTTCTCTCCACTGTGTGTGCGCTGGTGCTGGGTGAGATAGGACTTTCGGCTGAAGGCCTTGCCACACTCCAAGCACATATAGGGCCTCTCCCTGGTGTGGACAATGTGGTGCTGGAGGAGGTGAGTGCTCTTGCGGAAGGACTTCCCACATTCTGTACATTCGTAGCGCTTCACACCCGTGTGAATCAACTTATGTTGAAGGAGTAAGCGTTCCTTCTGAAACACTTTCCCACATTCCTTGCATTTGAAGGGATTTTTTCCTTCATGGACCAAGTGATCTGCAGCTGACCCACGGGAGTCACAGATACAGGAAACTGAGGGTGGAGAGACGTTGCCAAGCACAGTCCCCGAACACACACTGTCAGTTGACCCCGTGCCATCACCTCCAGGGCTCCTAGTTCCAGGAAGCTTCTCCCTCGAGGCCTCCATCTCTGGTCTCAGGAGTCCTTCCTGTACTTTGCAGGGCCTGTCCTGACCCTGGGGCAGCTCCAACAGGGAGTCCCCATAGGCTTTTTCTGTCTGACGGTCCTGGAGCAAGGCTCCCTTGGGTCGGGCCTGGTAAGCAGGACTGAGCTTCATGCTGTTAAGTTCTGCGCTGTTACCTGAAGGAAATGTAATACACAAAAGGGACTGTGAGTGACAGCAGCTCCAGAGAAAGGAAATCAGCATTTCAGTAAGAATAAGATGAAAAACAAGACTCTGCTCCTGGAATGACTTAAAATCTAGGAAACCCACTTGTGAAATGTCTTTCTTTTTGTTCATAGCATTCTTGAAACTTTCTTGCTGTCACATGGTATCACCTTTTTATTAACTGAGAAAAATCTCATTTGCATCAGTGATGAAGGAAGCAACACCATGGCACCTTGACTCACAAACTTCATTTGTACCACAATTCTTGTGAATTGAATCAAGTCTCCTGATATAGTTCAATATAAATAAGTTAATCTGTTCTGGCCCAAATGAACTTAATAGATAACAGAATCAAATTTTCCCACGAGGTTCAATATAAACATTAATTCATTCTCAATCACATATAATTTTTTAACCACAAAAATATGAAACCAAGTACAATACAGTATAATATAAAGAAGGAGAATTCTGAGCTTGAGGCAGCTTCTGGCATGGAGGACAGGAAGATGGGTAGCAGAGGTTACTGTTTGGAGGGAAAGTCCCCCTCTATAAGGACATTGGAGAGATCTCTTTCAGAGATTTTCTCTCCTTTGTTGCTTAGCTGCAGGGTTTATTTTAACAACAAAAATCTGTCTACTATCACTGCTTTTTCCTGTGGGCATAACCCTCTGGAAATGCGAGGCCATGTTACTGTTCCTCAGACCCAACACTCTGTTCCTTACAGTTATGTTGGGATGGTGTTTCTCAAGGAATCCTGGCACTCATTCCATTTTTCCTAAACAGATTTTACTATATCACTGCTAACCTTCTCCCTCTCTTCCTCTTCCTCTTCCTTGTGGAATACTCCTCAAGCACCTTCTGCTGCCTCTGGAGTTCGGCAAGTTCTTCTATGTCTGCACCATCAATGTGCAGTCCCATAGAGTTCTGCCCATGGACACAATCACATCTCCTGCTTGTACATCAGTCCCTGCAAAGACCCATTCAGTGACACATTCTGGTCACAGTTTCCTCCACGCTGAGTTTAAGGTCTGGTATGTGACACTTTCCCAGGCTTTATTAGTGAGGTTGATGCAGTAGAGACCTTGAAATGTTTCTTCCAGAACTCCTTCCAAGTCAAGAACCTCTCTTTACTTACATTAAAACCTCCGGTGAAGGGCCTGTGTGTATAACTTCTTGAGGAAGCAGACAACTTGCGGGTTTGTGGGCTGCAGAAGAGGTGTCATGAAGTCATGCTCGGCATCCATGCCATCCACCAAGGCTGGAGGGTGTACCAGCGCAGCGCCCATCTGAAGACACCTTCCAGGCATTTGGCTGACAGAAAGATACTTCCTAATGGTGGGTCTGAACACCTCTCATAGCCATTCCATGAACAACTGCCTTGTGATGCAAGTGTTCACAAGGGACCTCCACGTGAGACACAGTCCGGCCTTACCACACTATCTTCCTTGATGCTGAGGGGCCTGGGAATGGTACACTGGCAGTAGCCTAGTCTTCAGATCAATGCTTGCATTCACGCTCAGCAACAGGATCAGTCTGCCTTCTGTGGGCCAGTGCTCAGCAGCACCTTTTCCTCCTGCATGACGGGGTTTTGCTCAGCATCTTCAGAGGAGCCTTGTCCACTTGCTGAGGAACACACTCTTCTGCCTTCGTGAAGTCGAGCACTTTCCTGTAGGCAGCAGCAGTAGCCTTGTCAGGACTGGAAGCCTCACTAGGTCATAGTACACTGTGGACGCCTCTTCTTTTGTGAAATGCATCAAATCACCCTCTGATGGCTTTACACACATCATCTGTTGCACTTGTAGTTTTCCAGTAGTATATCTGCAACTCCCTGGCTTTTTCACACATTGCAGCTTGACTAACACTGCCAGCTGCCAGCTGTTTCTTACTCAATCCCCTCTTCCTGCACTGTGTCCCCTGCTTGGTTAACGTCGTTTCTCCTTGTGGTACCTCAGCTCCCCTGATGGCACTTAACAGTCAGCACTGTCAACTTCGCTCTCTGTACGGAGGCCAGATCTGTGTCGTGAGCACCATACTTTTTACAGTTTCCTTTCTCAATTCAATTGTTACTTTCTTCAAAACCTCACCATTCTTTCTCTGAACTTTCTTACTACTGTGACATTCTTGTTACCTTCACTCCTGCTCCACACATTCTGCTCACCTTCACAGCCATTCTGTACTTCCGTTTTAACACCATACTCGCTCAGCACGTTCTCTGGAGCCATGCTGGAATGAATAGTGCCATAGAGTAGTATACGTGCTAACAAGCAAAGACGCTTCACAGAAAGTGCGCACAAGTCTGTACACAACTGTGAGGACCACATCAGAGTGGGGACCATGGCCGCATTTCCTTCATGTGAGGATGATGGCTGTAGTCATGTTCATCACCTGATGCACAGTTTGAGAACAGAAGCAAAATTTTGCTAAGCACTTCTGTTTGTGAACCACACTGCTGTCACATAGATGTGTTCATGCCTCGAGCCATGACTCTTCTGGATCTACCAAAGTTCTCATCTCTACATGTGCAGAATTCACTTACAAACAAATAACACTGGACACAGCCCAATACCAGATTCTTCAGACTTTTGAAAGGAAACTTGGAGTGCCCAGGGCAGATTACAGAGAGAATGAAACTGAGACCCCCGACTCACAATCAAGACTAGGAAATAGAAGATGAGTAATAACACAGATAAAGGGAGAACCAAAGGCAAGGGACGCTGGCTCTGAAGTGTGCCAACCAATACAGGGTGGCTCCTGTGACCTGGGCATCCCAGTGGGGGACAGAGAAGATCAGAAGTTACTGTAGGGCTCTGCAAAATGAGGAGTATGAAGACACACAGGAAGGGATCTTCTGAGGCTGACTGATCTTCAGGGGACGTGTGGGAGGAGACAGGAAATGACAGCATGCAGAGCGCACTGTTATAAGCTTTGTTTCCTCACTATTCAGGAGAGGTAAAATCCAATATTCATCAGGGTGAATAATAGGAATACTGTCAACAGCTTTGTTTCACTGAACCACTCGCTATGGTCAGGTATAGTACACGGCAGTCTCACATACAATCTAGCACACCATCAGTCACACAGTGGCAGTGTATTATTACTGTGGACTCTCAGGACAGACTGAGTATAAAGGACATGAGCTCAGCCACAGTCCCCAACCTTGACACCAAAGTGTGTCTAGAGGTGTTGTAGCTAGGTGTGGAGAAGAGGAAAGACTTCATCTCCCCTGTGCCAGATGAAGGTGCCAGGGAAGCATCAGCCCCTGTGCTGTGGACAGAGGACGTGGGGTCCATGAATCCCTGCATCATACCGAACTCCTTACCAACAGGGCAACCACAGGTTATGGACACCACAGATCCCACAGCCCAGAGGCCACAGAAAGATGATTCTCAGGGTGCGGAGGCAGTGGTCACCTAAAAATCTATAAGTGCCATCACCCCTACCCTCCAACCTACTGTTACGTTTACCTTGCCGGTAGCCAGCACCCACCTGGATGGATCCTTTGGGAGAGGCCATTTGTTGTTTTCCTTAATGTGTGTCTGTGCTCCAACTGGTGAATCAGCTCTGACTTGGACAAAGGACAGCCTGTGCATGGAGAAGGAGACACAGGCATCAGTGAGATGAATCGTTGCAATATAGCCCTGATCTTCAGGATGGGGAAGAGAGCCTGGGGCAGAGCTTCTGTGAACTACAACCTGGAAGTAAACTACAAAGTGCTATGTTTGGAGCTGGTACACTGGAGGAAATACAACTGGCTGTATAAGATTTTTTTTTTTTTTTGGTCTTTTTCGTTTTTATTGGTACCAGGGATTGAACTCACGACTGCCTGCTTGCAAGGCAGGCGCTTATGCCGCTGAGCTAAATCCCCAGCCCCACAACTGGCTGTAGACACAAACCCAGCTCCTTTTGATTTCCATCTTGTAGAATCTTAACACGTCCAGACATATTTCGCTGGTGTTTTTTTTCTTTTCTTTTCTATGTTTTTTTCTGGTGATATTCACAATTGGACCAGGGCCTTCTCCCTGAGCTATATCTCCAGCCCTATTTTTCTATTTTTTTCATTTTAAAACAGGGTCTAAATTGCTAAATTGTACAAGCTGATCTACAACTAGAAATTCTCCTGCTTCTGTACCCTACACTGCTGAGTGTAGGCATATGCTATGGCACCTGGCTGCTATTCTGTAATTAATTCAGAGCCTTCCCCTCCCTGCAACATGCAAGTTTACTTAGGGATGTCTCCTTGTTATTCAGACCAACTGAAACAAAATCTCTGAGGATAAGGACTGGCATTGGGTTTTAAGCACTGGGCCCAGGTGATTGTAGCACCTGGCACATTAAAAAAGTATTTCTTTCGTCTCCCAGACCACCTGATAATCAGTAATCAGGTGGACGAGTGATGACACAGACTGCTCAAAAAATCTAAATTCTAGCAAGGGCCGCACAGGATGTCTTCTACCTACTGCTGTCCTACAACATGCTGGGACCTCTATGAGTGTACCTGCCGAAGACCTAGACTAAGGACAGGAACCAAAAACATGAAAAGCTACAGCAACACAAAAAGTAGAGCACTCCCCACTAACCCAGGAGGCTTGTTAGATGAGCTATGACCCTGTACAGGGAAAAGACTGAACTGGAATCAAGACCTCCCCGACAGACTTGCCAGGATCAAAGATACAGGAATCTAGAGGCGCCGGAGCTGCAAAGCCTTAGTCTGACTAGAGGCAGTTCTCAGAAGATGATGATCAGAACAGGTATATTCTTGGGCCTGGTTCCTACCTTCCATCTGTTTCCCAGCTGAATGACACAAGCAGCTGTCCCTGCCCAGGCCCTCCTACCTGCTCTTTCAGTGTCCAGATCCACCCACCAAGGATTGAAACTTCTAAAACTGCGATACAAAATGTACCATTCTTAAGTTGTAGGAGGCACTGCATCCCAGCAATGACAGAAAGTGGCTAAGACGGACACACGCTGACATTTGCATGAACATCAAATACCAACATTTTATAAGACAAAAGACTTCCATCACTGAGTGCTATGAAGGACAAGATCCCATAATGAAGGCACTCTCTTGAGACTGAATATATGAAGTTTTATGTAGGACTCATTCTATTTTCCATATTTGCTAAGAATGGGGGTGCCAGAAAACTTTAATACCCTATGAATAGATGATATGTACACGTAGAAAAACCAAGACAGAGAATCTAAGGCCTAAGAGACTATGTGGCCACTTTCTTCACAAAATGACAGAGGCAGGATGACACCATGGAATCAGTGACAGACCTTCAAAGAGAAGCCAAGCCACAGCATTAATATATTCCCTCCCTGGGAGTTCATCAGTCCCTTAAGGGATGCTGTGAGAAAAGTTACCTTTGGATTCTGCCTAACATCCTAATGGCTTTCCAACATATCCGTCTTTTGACTGTGACCAAACAGATTGTTTTGTCTCCCAACTCTTACTAGGTGAGTCAAAGAATCAAAAACATACAGATGAACCCAAAGAGATGATTGCTTTGTACTGCAAGGGGGGCAGTTACTGAAGGCTAGATGACTGGTTAGGCCCAGAGTCAGAGGGCTGAAAGAAAAGAGTCAGGTGGGAGAGAGAGGAGCCTTACCCACAGCGATCAGAAGCCCACAGGTCTCCAGCATCACCTCCCAGTATAATGTCCTCTTGGAAATGTCCAGCTGCACCCATTCCTCCTCAGTGAATCTCACAGCCACATCTTCAAAGGTGACAGCCACCTGGAAAGTCAAATACAGGAAGCAGAATCTGCCTTGGACAGGATGAGACTGTGACTTGAGCACAGTGAAAGACATGGACACCCAAGGACCAGATCACCAAGCACCCCAAGAGGGCTGAGCCCTGTGCTGTGCTCCAGTGTAAGAAGGGTGCTGCCTGGATAGATTACAGCAGTGTACACCACAGAAGTTTCATAGGCAGGAAGACACTGCAGTCTGAAACAAGTTTAGGACAGTTTCGAGTGGATTATAGGCTACACATAGCAAGTGCTCAGAGATACGAGGAATAGGAAGTAAAAAATAACAAAAATAATACAGCAGTGAAAAGAATAGCGCCTGAACTGGTCCTCGCTGTGCCTGGCTCCTGATGAGGACTTTCTGTGCCACAGCTAAGGGACTAGAAGGCAACAGCTCGGAAGCCAAATCCTAGGGTTAAAAACAAACTTCAGAAATCAACAGCTACTTACTGTGTGAATATGGGACCTTTCTTTGTCTGAATCTCTAATCTCAGGTCAATAAAATAAGTAAAAATAAAATTTTGACTCACCATGAGCACTCATAAAAATTAAAGAAAAGGTGCTTGTAAAAGAAACATAGTGGCAAGGAGGAGGCTGTGCATGGTGCACACACCTGTAATCTTATATTTGTGAGGCTGAGGCAGGAGATCACCACAAGTTTGAGACCAGCCTAGGCTACGCAGTTAACTCAAGGCCAGCCAAAACTACACAGTGAGACCCTGTCTCAAAGAAGGGAAAGAAGGGAAAGAAAGCAAGAAAGCAAGCAAGCAAGCAAGCAAGAAAGAAAGAAAGAAAGAAAGAAAGAAAAGGGGAGAAAAAAAGTAAGTAAGTAAAGTGATGGACCACAGTCCTGCAGGTGAACACTATCACCTCCATTTCAAACCCATAGGTTAGGGGTCCAGGAAGCTCTACCAGTTCATCCAAACTTATACAAGAGGCAGCATTTGAATCCAGGCTCCACTGGTGGGCAATCTACTCATGCATATATGACATTCCTCTACCAGCAGATTTAACACACAGTTAATGAGATTGTGATGCATTCCAAATAAGTTTCACTGCTATATCCATCTCAGGCACTTCTGAAAATATTTCCGAGGGCACTATCATCTATCTTATTAAACAGATATCTGAGGTAGTGTTATCTGTTGGTTAAGTGCTAGGGCTTGGATCAGCTCCTGCAGCCTTCTGGACCTCACAGCTGCCTGTGGAAAATTCAAAATGAGCCACCACTGTTTTTCCTACCTGACCTTCCAGGAGTTATACCTGAGGCTAAGATACTTCAAGAAGAAGGAACAAGAGTCCAAGACAGCATAGCAAGCAATGGCCATGAGAAACTAGGGTCTTGAATGGACCATGATGCCCTGAGAAAACAGGATGTAACATCCAGCAAAAGATCGTACTATTGGTATTAGCAGTGCAACCCCAGAATCCAGGCTGTTTAGGAAACTGAGGCAAAAGGATCACAAGTTGAAGGAAAGAGACAGTGACTTAATAAAAGGCGCTGGGGATGTACAACTGTACAGGAGCACTTGCCTAGCACTCTTATGGCCCTAGATTAAATCTTCATTATGGCAAGAAAAAAAATCACAATCTCACCCACCCAGAACATGAGTTACCATGTGGGGGAAAACCCATGGGTACCCTGACAACTTCTTTTAGACCAATGTGCCTTTCCTGAGCGCACAATCCCTGCCAGATGCCTACACACCCGGCACTCACTACTTGAAGGAGGCACGCTGGACTTGCAGTTTATGTTACTTCTTCAGACCTCCCCATACACAGTGTAACAGGCACGATAATGCGCACAGTAGTCAGTTTCTAATCAGGGTATAAAGGGAGGCCAAAGATTCAGAGGCAACGTCACCAGCAAGGCCGAGTGCAGGACAAGGCTGCACAGCACAAGACATCTTCGTGAGGTCTGGCTCCTGGGTCTCAAGAGCAAGGAACCGGAAGAAACAGGCCAGGTAGGAGGAGGGCGCAGGGCGGGCGGACTCAAAGCAGCAGTGCGGGGCTACGTGCACACAAGTGCCAGCTGACATTTCAGAAGGAGCCGCCCTCATCAACAGTCCCCTTCCCGGGAACCAAGGGATGGACTAACTCGCAAACTGTGGCCTCAGCCTCTCTGAAAACCAGAGGAACCACAGAGCCGGAATCCTCGTCCACTCACCTGCGCCGCCGCCATCACGGACGCGGGGGTGCGAGGAGCCGGCGACCTCCAGCGCTTGGCCCCAGCCTGGCCTGGTGACCTTGGTGGACAGACCTGTCCCCAGCCTTAGTGTCCCTCACGTAAAATGCACACGAAGTGAGGGCACCGCTGGCAACCATGGAGACCCATGGGACACCCCATTAGGAAGGAGGAGGTGCTCGGCTGTCAGAGGAAACGGAGCAGGGAGGCTTACTCCTCCCAGCGTCCCCTACACGTCTCTAAACAAGGCGCCGGTACTCAGCCTTGACGGTTCAGGCGCAGGGAGACGACGCACACGAAAACAGCAGGAAGTCCCGCCTCTACTTCCTTCAAGATCGTCCCTCTCGGGCTATGATTGGTCCAGTCCATGCATGGACAAGCCGCAATGCCTTAAGGGTAACACAGTTTTTTGTGTTCTTGACGCCCGCCTAGCGATGGATACTTTCAAAGAGCATATTTTTATGTGCATTTGACGGAAGGTTGCCTCCTCATAACGCACATAAATAGGGGATCCAAATTCTCCATTATTTGCCCAACTAGGTCCTCAGCAAAGGCTCATTTTGGCCTCAGGCTGGTCTGCGACTTCGCGGTCTCGGTGAGGTTGATACACATCAACGTTTCGAGGGCGTCTGGGGAAAGCACAGAGGCAACATACACGCATAAACAGCGTTGTAACTGGTTTTGATGACATTTGAGGCTAATATGAATGGACAATGTAAACGTGTAGTCACTATGAGTCACTGCAAAGATGAAGGAGAGAACTTGAGAGCGATTCTGTGCTTTCCAAAAGTGAGCGATTTTCCCTGCCAGCAAGGAAACAGCAAGAGTAACAGACACGCCGAGAGATTACACAACTACAGATGCCTTGAGGCATACGAATGAAAAATGTTGAGGATGGCTGTGAAATGATGTAATCAAGAAAACGAAAATTTAGGATCGCCTGGGAGATGGCACACAGAAAGGCCATTTCTCCTTCAATAGTCAGAGGAAAAGACAAGACATCTGAATGTTCCAGCTATGCTTGGCCTTTTTCAGAAGTATCAGGTAATGTGGAGGGCATGTGGAACTACTTTTCTAAAATCCCAATCACTCAGATTCCTGGAGACCTACTACCTTAGGTCTCAAAGAGGTGTCAAAGTGACTATTTCACTTTGACAGCCCCTCTTGGCATTGATCCCACCTCCAGCCATGGCACTTTACCTTATCTTGCTTTGGTGCACTAACTTCTGTGCTTTCCAAATTACAAGGAAATGGCAGAGTTTCCTTGCTTCATTCTTAAATTTAGAATCTTATTCGTTAATTCAGCATATTATTTTAAATGCTAATCTTTATTATTTAAGTATGGTGAAGCTAAAAGATCCTGAGACGCTTGCCACTCTTATCTCTTCTTATGTTAGAAGTTAAGAGTTGTAAAGACGTAAAGCATACATCCTGTCATCAGGGCACGTAGGGAACTAGGATTGGTCAAACCAATGAAGAAAAGGCAAGTGGGATGGATATTCAACTCCGTGGCATGAGCATCTGCCTGGCAAACACAAGGTCGTGAGTTCAATCACCAGTACAAAAAAAAAAGGCAAGTACAAGACCCTTGATTGTTTCTGAAGGAGTGATCAAGGGCAATAAATAAGCTAGGCAGGTTTCAGATTCATTTAATCTTTTTATTAGTATGTGTTTGCAGTTCATGCAGTTTACAGTCATCTTGGAGAGTGGTTACATGTATGTATTACAGCTTTTGTTTTAAATCCCCTTCCCTCCTCTGGTTCCCCTACCCTCTTTTGTATACTTGTTATTGTCTTAGCTCATTATGGCATACAGTGTTTACATTAACTGGAGTTACTACATCCCTGTACGTGGCAATCTTTATTCCTCTCATTTCCCCTTCCCCTCTTCCTCACCCCTCAACCTTGTTCCCTAGGAAGAGTCTGAGTAGAGGCTGGCCCTGGGTTAGTGATGGCAGAGTTAGTACTCCCATTTGTGAGATCTTCATAAAAGAAGCAGTTGAAGGATTGGGGTTCTGGAGTGTGTGGTTTGCATATGAAAAGCATACACTGAAGGAAGTCCTTTGCTACCACATGGAATTGGGTAGTCCTTGAACAGGCAGTCTCTACAGTGAGCTCCCATTTCTCAAAACACAACAGAACACACCTCCAAATTAAAAGGAGAAATGAATGTGAATTTTCTAACCTATCCTGTATGCCAGGTATGGTGGCATGCGCCTGTAAACCCAGCACCCTGGAGGACTGAGGCAAAAGGATCAATGAAAGTTTGAGCCAGCCTACATATATAGTGAGTTCAAGGATAGCTTGAACTATATAGTGAGACCCTGTCAAAAAAATAAATAAAAAAAAAAAAATAAAACAAAGAGGGGAAAAAAAGTTATCCATAAATCAAATTAAGCACAGAAACATAAAAAACAGTCTCACTGCCTGGCCCATCCCCTGTATACTGTTCCAAAGGAGGCAAACAAAGATTTTGGTCACAAAATTTAAATATCTATGAGCAGATACTCTATAGTTCTCAAAACTGAAGTACCGTATCATTGAGCACTTACAGAAGCAGCCCCACTTCTGACAATGGAGAAAGGCCATCTTTGACCTATAATCTACATAAGCAAGCTTGATACATAGACTAGATGTACCTAGTTTCCAGCACTATGTCTTCACAGGGCCTGTTCCAGGCCTCTCCAGTCTATACTATCCATCACTTTTGAAGTTAGTTTGAAAGAAAAAGTTCATTCAACACTAGCTCTAGACTAAAAATGGGTGGAGAAAGGCTGGCAGTAAAATATATTCTCTAGTACACTTGAAAACAAGACATGTGGAAAACAGCTTAGGACCAAAAAACTGTAGCGATAAGGGAATCAAGACAGAGCCATTGCTATACATGAATGTGTCTCGCACTTTGGACTGATAATCCTGGTGTTTAGTGCTCCATTCTTGGGAATCATAACCACTTAAATGAGAGGACTGTTCAGGACTTTCTTTTGTAGGAACTACCCTTCCACCACTGTGAAGCCAACTATAGCAGGTTGACCAAAAACACTAATTTTAGATACAAGAGCTCTCAAAATATGGGGGAATTTATTGCACCAACACAAGGCTGGTTTAGCACTTGCAAGTCAAATCCATGGTATCAAGAGGCTGCAGATAAACAGGCTCCATAATTCTAACACTCATTCTTAATAGACACTCTCAGCAATTTAGAAGGGAAGCTTTCTAGATTACATTACCATCTACATGAAACCAAAGAGCTATGATGTTTAATGCTTAACACTGAGTATTTCCCACAATCATCAACCACACAAGTATAAATAGCTGTTTTTCTCCTTTAACATACTTGAAGATACTGAAGTATGACAGAATAAATGAAAGTAATGAAGATTAGAAATTGGTTTACTATTAGCTAATAGATCTTACTATGAAGAAAATCCTGATACATGTTAAAAATACTGATTGAGTTAGGCAATGTTGTAACATGCAAGGTTGACACATGCAAACATCCCTGTTCTGCAAATGATCATGTGGAAACAACACAATGAAGCTGGGTGAGGTAGTACCTGTGATCTCAGCTACTCACACCAGGAGGCTAAAACAAAGGGATCCCATAAGCCCAAGAGTTAGAGAGCAGCAAGAGCCACACAGAGAGGATCACTGAACCACCACCACCAAAAACCCAAAAACCTGTCAGTGTCACATAATGGCCCACAAAACTTATTTACATTAAATTCAAGCAGGTGGTAGTACACACCTGCAATCCCAGCTACTCAGAGGTTGACACAAGAAGACCACAAGCTCTAGTTGCCAGTCTGGGCAACTCAGTAAGAACTAGTCACAGAAGTTTAAAAACATCGCTGGGATAGAGTATCTGCCTAGCATGGATGAGCCCCGGGGTTTATTCCCAAACCCACCCCCACCCAATAAAAGGAAAAGAAAAAAAATCAATAAAATATGTCCAGGGTTTATTACCTGAAAATTACAAAACATTTATGAAATAAATGAAAGAGGGTTTAGAGAAGAAAAAAAACATTCATGGAAGGCTCAACATACAAATCTTTTTAAGAATCTACTGTACAGTTTCTATAATATAGGAAGATGGTTCCTAAATGTACAAAAACACGTGATAAAAATGAAACAAAGCTGTAAGAATAAAACTGATCTGGAAAGACCTAACAATTTGTTCCAGAACAAGGAAAATATAATTACTTTATGCATTTCATAGCTATAGCAAAACAAGATAGTGCAGTAATGACAGAAGTTTTGGCCTCTGTCAAAAATGTACAAAACCAGATCAAAAACATAGAATATGCAGAAATAGGCACCATGGGGGCTGGGAATTTAGCTCAGCGGCATAAGCGCCTGCCTTGCAAGCAGGCAGTCGTGAGTTCAATCCCCAGTACTGATAAAAAAGAAAAAGACAAAAAAAAAAAAAAAAAAGGCCACCATGAATTATATCTAGTTGCTTATGACCAAGACATAAAAACAATTCAATAAATGTATAGTCTTTATAATAAATGGTATTCAAACAAATGCATTTCTCAACAATAATTAAATTCAACCTATACTTTATATGGTAATACAAAAATTACTTTAATATAGACCAGAGATTAATAAGGAAAAGGTAAACTCAACTTTTAGAAGAGTTGGGTGTAGTGGCAATGCCTGAAATGCCAGCACTCAGGAGACTGAGGGAAGAGGACTGCTCTAAGTTCAAAGTCAGCCAGCATGAGCCACATAGTTCAAGACCAGCCTGAACTACACTTTCCCAAAATAAATAAATATATAGATAAAATTTTTAAATGGTTTAGAAGAAACCAGGTGAAGTAGCACACACTTACAATCTCAGCACTCTGGAAAGATAAGGCAGGAGGATCAAAACTTCTAGTGGAGCCTAGGCAACTTAGCAACTTATTGAGCTCCTGTATCACAATAAAAAAGAAAGCCAGGGATATAGACTACTGCCAAGTTCTTGGATTGAATCCTCAGTACAAGACAAGAAAACAGACAAAATCATGCTATCCCTGAGATAACATTTCAACATACGCTAGCAGATGTAGTCAAGACCTTACCAAAACACAAGCACAATAACCACTGAACTTTCTCATGGTTGAATTCTCAGATGAAAAAGACTGCAGACTGGGTCGATTTCAAACATGACTCTTTAGATGACAAATGATAAGGCTGAGCTAGGTGGTACATGCCTATAATACCAAGGTGACTAGGTGGGTGACTGAGGCAGGACTCCCACAAATCGGGGCCAACCCAGGTTACACAGTGAGTCCAGGCCAGCCTAAACCACATATCGAGACCCAGTCTCAAAAACAAACAAGTAAACAAAAAAAAAAGAAATGATTATTTATTTTCTTCACAGAGATGGTGCTAACCGAGTTTCCCTCTGGTATGAGTGACCCAAGGCTGTGTTAGGCGATTCCCCTGACCAGTGATGTTCCTCACTGGTTACATGGAGAAAGTCCTTCCCTAACATGAGTCCTTCTATGTTGACAGAGGCTTGCACACTTGTGAAAGGTCTCCCCTCCGCCACACTGTCAGGTTTCTTCTTCATGTGTCTCCTTTGATGCTGTGTGAGGGAGGAACTGCAGGTAAAGGCCCTTCCACATTCATTGCACCGATAGGGCTTTTCTCCTGTGTGGATGAAGGAGTGGCGGATGAGGTGTGCACTCCGCAAAAAGGTTTTACCACACTCCATGCATTTGTAGGGCTTTTCCCCACTGTGAATTCGTTGGTGCCTGGTTAGTCCTGACCTATGATTGAAAAGCTTCCCACACTCCATGCATTCCGATGGCTTCTCGCCTGTGTGGATGCTGAAATGACGAATAAGGTCTGTCCTATCACTGAAAGCTTTCCCACACTCTTTGCACTCATAGGGTGTTTCTCCAGTGTGGGCTTTTTTGTGCAAGATGAAAGTAGAGCGGTGAACAAAGGCTTTTCCACACTCTCCACACACATATGGTTTTTCCCCAGTGTGGATGCGCTGGTGTTGCTTGAGGTACGACCCACGGTGGAAGGCTTTCCCACATTCTAGGCACATATATGGCTTCTCCCCAGTGTGGGTAACATAGTGGTGGATGAGGGCTGAACGCTCACCAAATCCTCTCCCACATTCATTGCACTGGAAGGGCTTCACACCAGTGTGAATCTGCTGGTGCCACGTGAGGTACGACCGCTGGTTGAAGGCCTTGCCACACTCTGAGCACTGATAGGGCTTCTCTCCTGTGTGGATGAAATAGTGTCTGGTGAAACCTGCCTTGTCTCTAAAGGCTTTGCCACACTCATTGCACACAAAGGGTTTCTCTCCAGTGTGGATCCTGTTATGCAAAATCATTGTGGAGCGGTAGGCAAAGGTCTGTCCACACTCCGTGCACTTGTAAGGCTTCTCTCCACTGTGTGTGCGCTGGTGCCGACTAAGATGAGTCCCACGGCTGAAGGCCTTGCCACACTCCAGACATTTATAGGGCTTCTCTCCGGTATGGACCATCTGATGCTGGAGGAGTTGAGTGCTCTTGCGGAAGGACTTCCCACACTCTGAGCACTCATAATGCCTCACTATTATGTGAACCCACTGATGGCGAAGGAGAAAGCGTTCCTTCTTAAACAATTTCCCACATTCTTTGCATTTGAAGGGATTTTTTCCTTCATGGACCAAGTGATCTGCGGCTGACCCATGGGAGTCACAGGTATAGGGAGCTGAGGGTGAAGAGATGTTGCGAAGCCCAGTCCCTGAACACACGCTGTCAGCTGACCCCATGCCATCACCTCCAGGGCTCCTAGTCCTAGGAAGCTTCTCCCTTGGGGCCTCCATCTCTAGTCTCAGGAGTCCTTCTTGTACTTTGCAGGGCCTGTCCTGACCCTGGTGCAGCTCCAACAGTGAGTCCCTAGAGGCTCCTTCTGTCTGATGGTCTTGGAGCAAGGCTCTTGCCAGTCGGGCATGGTAAGGACTGGGCTTCGTGCTGTTAAGTTCTGTGCTGTTATCTGAAGGAAATGCAATATACACGAAAGGGACTGTAAGTGACAGCAGCTCCAGAGAAAGGAAATCAGCATTTCAGTAAGAATTAAGATGAAAAAAAAGACTCTGCTCCTGGAATGATTTAAAATCTAGGAAACCCACTTGTGAAATGTCTTTCTTTTTGTTCCTAGGACTCTTGAAACTTTCTTGCTGTCACACAGTATCACCTTTTTTTTACTATTAACTATGAAAAATCTTACCTAGTACTAGTCAGAAATGGTTATGATAAAGGAAGCAATGAGATCATTCCACACATTCAAAATTCATTTACAAAAAATAATGTCCAGCATAGTCTAACACCAGATTCTTGAGACCTTTGAAGGAAAACTCAGAGGAACTGCTTGTGTCAGATGACAGTGTCTGAAACTGATATCCCCACTCAGTCAAGATTAGGGAGGATGACCTGGTGTGGAGGCACATACCTGTAACCCCAGCACTCAGGAGGCAGGAGGATCACCGATAGCTCAAGGTTAGCCTCAGCTACATAGTCCAAAGCTAGCCTGAACTACCTAAAAAACCCTGTCTCAAAAAAAAGACTGGGAGAACAGGATGACTAATAACAGCATAGCCAAGGAAGCACTGAAAGGAAGAGACAGTGGCTCTCCATTATGTCTTTTTGGACACAAGCTAGGGCATAGTCTCTAACCCCTACACCCACTTTTGTCTGAATGTATTGTCAGTGACTATAAAGGGAAGCAGTGTACAATGGAGAGGAGTGACATCTTTATTCCCTCATCTGGTGGCAGCCAGGAACGCATCAGCCCCTGTGCTGTGGACAGTGGGCAATGCATCCATGAATTCTCATGTGGCAGACTTCTGTATTATATCCTGTAGTTTCCCAGAGGCAGCAGCTTGTGAAAGTCCTGCGATGTGGAGGGCAGAGGGAACCTCCGACAAAAGGATTCATGGCCCAACTGCCCCAGAGGCCATTAAAAAATGATTCCCAGAGTTCAGAGGCAGGGATTGCCGGTGAATCTCTTAGCTGCTGTTACTCCCACCCACGCAGTGGCTGGCACATACCTGGATGGGAGCTTTGGGAGAGGACTTCTGCTGCTGCCCATAGATCCTGGCTGTGCTCCAACTGGTAGATCAGCTCTGATTTTGACCAAGGACAGCCTGTGTAGTAAAAAGGAGGAGACAGGGATTGGTAGGAAACAGAATATTTTCAATCTAGTCTGAAACTTCAGGATGGGAAAACCTCAATGAAGAAGCTTCTGGGTTGCCAAAAGAATTAAACAGTGCAATGTGAACAAACAATATAAACAAAAAGATTATGAGAATGGCAAATGTGTTAGTCTCACAGGCTACCTGCATCATCTTTCATAAAATAACTAAGGCAGGAAGCCTTTCTACAGACAGCAAGAGACCTGCAAAGAAAGCAAGGATGAGAAGATGAGAGACCTATAGTAAAGTACACCTGAGCTCCTTCTCAAGAACTTCACTGAGCCTGCGAGGGACTTGAATTACAAATTCTGACCCAGCACTGCATCCTTGGCTAGAAAGGCTGCCTTGGTTCTGCATAACACTTCATGTCCTTCCAATGCATCCCTCTCCTTTATCACCAAACATAGATTATTTGTCTCCCAAATCTTGCTGACTGAGACACAAAGAGAAGGAAGAGTCAAATGCAAAGATATGACAGAAAGTATAAAACAAAGAGGGCACTTCTGAGGTCTCAATGAACAGCAAGGCCTGGAATCAGAGGGCAAAGGAAGGGAAAATCCAATGGCCACATGGCCGAGGGGAGCCTTACCCACAGTGACCAGATGCTCACAAGTCTCCAGCATCACCTCCCAGTATAACATCCTCTTGGAAATGTCCAGCTGCCCCCACTCCTCCTCAGTGAATCTCACAGCCACATCTTCGAAGGTGACAGCCATCTGGGAAGTTGAACAAAGAATCTTTCTAGGGACTCTTGGATAGGATCAGACTTGAGCCAAGTAAAAGACATAGACACTCAAGGACGAGATCACCAAGCACCCCAAGAGGGCTGAGCCCTGTGCTGTGCTTCAGTGTAAGGAGGGTACTGCCTGAATGGATTGCAGCAGTGTACACCATAGAAGTTTCATAGGCAGGAAGACACTGCAGACTAAGTTTAGGACAGTCTCAAGTGGACTATAGACTACATGTAGCAAGTGCTCAGAGCTACTGAGAAACAGGAAAGAGTAACAACAAAAATAATACACAGATACGACAATAGCCCCTGTCTTAATGGTCCTTACTGAGTGCTTGGCGCTTGTCATGAGCCATGGTAAAGCTACTACAATCAGACTCCAGAAATCAATACCTGCTTGTTGTGTGACCACAGGACCCTTCTTTGTCTGCACCTCTAGTCTCAGATCAATCTTTTTCCACCTATCCACTTATAAGAAGAATGAAAGAAAAAAATGTTTATAAAAGAAACAGGGGTGATGGCCACAGTCTCAGAAGTCAACGCTATCATCCTCTCCATTTAAAATCCACACTGAGGTCCAGGAGGTTCTATAAATTCATGCAAATATATGGTGTATGAAAGAGGCGGGATTTGAACTGTAGGCAACCCAGTTATGGAGAAATGCCATTCCCCTGTGAGCAAAGTTAACCCACAGTTAATGAGACTGTAATGCATTCCAGATAAGCTTCACTATTATATCCTTACTAGCCACTTTTGCAAATGTTTCTGTGGACTTGGCTGAAGGAGGGGAACCATCATCATCCACCTTATTAAAGAGACATCTGAGGTACTGTCATCTATCTGTGATGTGGTAGGGCCTGAATCAGCTTGTGGAGTCATCTGCATCCCTTCTGGATCCCAGTTTCCCATGGAGAATTCAAAATAATCCACTACCTTTATTCCCTACCTGAATCTTGCCAGGTCTTATCACTGAAGCTAGGATACTTCAAGAAGCAGAAACAAGACTCTAAGACAGCATGAATATGGGCATGAGAACCTGATGTCTGGACTGGCATCATGTCCCTCCTAGGTAAGTAGAAAGTAATGTTCACCAAAAGATCACATAGCTAGGTATAGTGGCACAACTCTGTAATTCTAGCTACCTAGGAGGCTGAGGCTGGAGGATCACAAGTTCAAGGTTAATCTGGCCAATTTAAAGAGGGGATGTACATTACATATAAAGCACTTGTCTAGCACTTATAACGCCCTAGGTTCGATCTCCATTAAGGGAAGAGGGAAATCCCAGGTCACTGCGGATTTCTTTTAAACCAATGTGTGTTTCCTGAGTGACAGGAGTCTCTGCCAGATATGCCAGTCTAGAACGAAGTACACTTGCCTTGCAGTTTTTTTTTGTTTTTTTTTTTTTGTTTTTTTTTTTTTTTTTATCGGTACCAGGGATCGGACTCACGACTGCCTGCTTGCAAGGCAGGTGCTTATGCCGCTGAGCTAAATCCCCAGCCCCCACTTGCCTTGCAGTTTATGCTGGGGAACTCCTGACTTTCCCCGTGCACTTTGTAGAAAACAGTGTAACAACAGGCATGATGACGGGCACAGCAGTCAGTTTCTGATCAGGGCAGAAAGGGAGGCCAAGCAAAGATTCAGAGGCAGCGTCACCAGTAAGACCGAGTGTGGGACAAGGTTGCCCAGCACAAGAGATCTTCGTGAGGTCTGGCTCCTGGGTCTCAAGCGCAAGGAACCCGGAGAAACAGACCAGGTCGGAGGAGGGCGCAGGACTGGCAGACTCAAGGCCACAGTGTGGGGCTGCGTGCACCCAAGTGCCAGCTGACATCTCAGAAGGAGCCGCCCTCACCGACAGTCCCCTTCCCGGGAACCAAGGGATGGACTAACTCGCAAACAGCGGCCTCAGCCTCTCTGAAAACCAGAGGAACCACAGAGCCGGATCCTCGTCCACTCACCTGCGCCGCCGCCATCACGGATGCCGAGCAGCGTGAGGCCAGCGACCTCCAGCGCCTCCCCAGCCTGGGCGGGTGACCTTGGTGGACGGACCTGTCTTCGGCCTCAGTTTCCTCCATATAAAATGCGAAGGAAACACAAGGCGCGGCTGGCGGCTAGCGGGCACGTCAACCCGGCGACCATGGGGCACTCCGTAACGGAGGAAGCTCCCAGCTCTCAAAGGACCCGGAGAACCCAGGAGTCTTCCTTGCAGCCACGCCTCACACCCCACGCTGCGACGCCAGCACTCAAATCAGGCTGCCTCAGACGCCGGAAGTTGTCGCGCGAGAAGGCAACCGGAAGTCCCGTCCCCCCCCCACGCGCTTCAGACCGGAAACATGCCTTAACGCAGTTTTTTTTGTTTTTTGTTTTTTTTTTAAACTGACGTCCTCCTAGTCGTGAGGACTTCTCACCGGGTTCCCGGTTCGTTTGCTACAGCGCTAACTTTTACAGTGAGTTTATGTCGGTGGTAGCAACTCCCTCATTATCGGAGGCATTCCTGATGGGAACATTTACCCGTGGTTAAAGTGATTCAACAAGAGAGGCCCAGCAAGGTCTCTTTACCCCATCTCTGCAAACGGGATACACATAATTGCTGCAAGGCTGTTTGGGGACAGATGGGCGACAACTGCAACACATCATGCAGATGAAAAGGTACTGCTCTTGTTTTGATGACATCTAAAGCAAAGGTCAAAACCATTCTATACAGAGAAAGTAAATGAACACTATGTGTTACTGAAAATCCAAAAGGGACAAAGAACAGTACTTGAAACATGCCATTTACCTGACAACAGGAAAAGAGTAAAAGTAACAAACAGAAATTGAGAGATCAGTCAACTACAGACGCCTTAAGGGACAACAACTGAAATTCATTGAAGATCTGTGAAAAGATGATAATCAAGAAAAAGGTTGGTAAAGTGTTCGCAGGCCTCCGAGATGCCACACAGAAAGACCATTTTCTCCTTATAAAGTTAAACAGAGAAAAGAGACTTAAAGTCATGTTTGCGTATCTGGACCCTCAGTTATGTGTTGCCCTTTTCAGAAATATCAGACAATGAGAAGGACCTGTGGAACTATTTTTCTGAAATCTCAATCCTGGCATCTCTTTAACTCAGTGGTCTTATGCTTGCTTCAGCAGCACATATACCAACTCTGGTCTTTAGACTACAATTGTACCTTGGAAGTATACTTATTCCAAATTCGAGTTCCAACGCAAAATTTGATAACTGAGCATATTTTTATCATAAGCAATAACAGAACGCTAGGTGTGGTGACCCATGCCTGTAATCCCAGCACATGAGGGGCTGAGACAGAAGGATTGTGGCTGATTTTTCCTAGAAGGCACCTCCCTCCCTGTGTTCTTTTCACAAACTCAAACTTCAAACTTCCCACTTTTCACCCATGCCACAGTACTCCTTCAGTCTGCTGATAAAACGTCATTCTGTTCACCCCTTTAACTCCGCCCCTGTCAAATTCCAGATAAAGTCCACAGTTCTTTCCCAAAACCTCCAGAGGTTGCTTGCCTCTCTTCAGCAGCCTCCAGTGCCCTCAGTAAGGTGTTTTCTTTTCTGCTCTTTTTCTCTGTCACACCACAGAAGACCAAACATTGCTGTGAGTTCGAGGCCAGCCTGGGTTACAAAGTGACCTAAAATGCACAGTGAAACCCTGTCTCAAAACAACAACAAAAAGGGCTAGGGATATAGCTCAGCAGCACAGTACCTGCCTGGCAAGCATGATGTAGTTGAGTTAGAGCCTACGTACAAAAATTATTTCTTGCCAGGCGAGAGATCCTGTTTCTGTTTCTATCTCTGTCTCTCTCTCTCTGTCTCTCTCTCTCTCTCACACACACAGACAAATGGAAAACCAAATAATTGGTCCTGAGGCTCAAAAGTTACCCTTAAAAATTTTCTAAGAACTTTAACAAATTTTGCAGTGATTTCTTTATTGTGGTTTTCAGTTTTCCTCTTAGCTTTGCTGCTGGTAGCACTGCTTTGAAGCCATGGTTACAATATTTTACATGAAGTGCAAAAAAAAAAAAAATACCCCAGTGAATACTTTCACACACTAACACAAATTCCATGTCATCTGGGTGAAAAGGGTGCTTAGACTTAAGTGATTTTGATTTCCCTTTGTGTCCCCGGGGAGGCATGACATATGCCTCACTTTCGGCCTGTCAGACTTTTGGTTAGACTATGGAGCAAGGTTACTAACACCAAACACATTTTGTTTTTCAAATTTTGCTGGTCAAGTAGTGAACAGTTCAAAGCTGGAGCCATCCAAGGTATCACTGTATCTGATTATCACTACTTCAGCCCCCTTGGCATGGATCTTGCCTCTTTGTGGTTCTCTATAGTTTGTCTTGGTTGGCACATTGACTCCTTATGCTTTGGAAATTACATGGAAATGGTTGATTCTACTTTGCTAAGCTTTTAAAATTCATTAATGACTCTGGCATATCATTAAAGGTCAATTTTTTATTATTCATATATGGTGAGGACAAAAGATCCTGAGACAGTTTCCATTGAAGAGATACCACCTATGATTCCTAAGATAAAAACTATGCATCATGCCATGCAGGGCCAGGAGGGGAAATGCCAGTTTTTGCCAAACAGGAGTAAGGAAAAATCAAAGGCAAGAGTATTTGTTGTGCTTTTTCAATGAAGAATGGTCAAGGAAATAAAGAAGCTAATCAGGTTAGGGTTAGCTAGTTTCAGTAGAGGCTGTCTCTAGTTACTTGATATCTGGTCCTGCATTAGTGATGGCACAGTTCCTCCATTTATGAGACCTTCATAAAAGAAGCAGTTGAAGGATTAGGGTTCTGGAGTGTTTGGTTTGCATATGAAAGGCACACACTGGAGGAAGTCCTTTGCTACCACTTGGAATTTGGTAGTTCGGGAATGGGCAGTCTCTACAGATCAGTGAGCTCCCATTTCTCAAAACATATGCTGAATACACTACCTCTCCAAATTAGGAGCAAACACATATGAATTTTCAGAAAGTTATCATGTGAGTCAAAGCAAGCATAGAAACAATCAGTGAGTGCCAGGCCCATTCACTTGACACTATTCCAAAGGAGGCAAAATAGAGTGGCCACTGAGCAATTAGCTGAAACCACTCAATTGCAAGATGTTACAGAGTTTTGCTTGCAATGAAATAAAAACTCTGTGGAGTTGGGGGTGGTGGAACATGCCTACAATCCCAGCACTTGGGAGGCTGAGGCAGGAGATCCCTGAAGTTTGAGGCCAGCCTGGGCTACACAGTGAGTTAAGGCCAGCCTGAACCATACATCATGAGACCCTGTCTTCACATACATACACACTCTGTGAGCAGTCCCAAGCCTTACCTCTTCAAAACTGACATGCACTGTCACTAACCAATGCAGAGGCAGCCCAGCAAGGCTATCTTTGGTCTAGAATCTGAAGAGAGGTAAGCTGGACATACACCAAGAGACCCCAGGCCCCTAGTGCCCTGAATGTCTTTGGAGGCCCTGTTACTGGTCCTGTTACATACTGGAGGTCGCATCCTAAGCAACATGAAAGGCTGGTGAAAAGGAGAAAAAAAGTATTCAAAGCTAGTCTGGAGGGAGACAGAGTGACCTCTTGTTGCCTCGATTTCTCTTACCTTCTTTACACATGCAAAGGCTTTTATTGGGAGAAAGCTGGAGGAATACAGAAAGACAAATTTTCACATCCTTTCATTCCTGGTCATGCGTGGCTCTTCCCACGTGGAAAGGAAAACAGACTATGCCCTCTTGGGGCCAATATCTGCATACTTCCTTTTAAACAGATCCACTCATCTCATGACACACTTTTCTGTGCTGTGCTTTACTATATATATATAGAGAGAGACAATGGAGCTGAGGAAGTCACTCCCTTCCATCCATTTAATTCTAAACAGGACCATACGACACTTCTTCTGTTGTCTTGACAGACAGGAAATAACAAAAGCCCAGCTCTCTGATACTCCAGGCAGGAACACATGTGTGCTGAACCTCCTGGCCTGGCTCCAGTCACCTTCAACACACTGTCACCTCTTTAAGGATTTATCATTTTGTACTATATGTCACACATTAAGATCAGAATGACACCAGGACAAGCATCCATGCTGAAAGCCCCTAACATGATTCCACACCTGGTCCATCATTCCTGTCAAGCTCACCTGGTGATTCAGCCGGGCATGATGGCGTAGGTCTGTAATTCCAGCACTTGGGAGGCTGAGGCAGGACCACCGCACTTAGAGCCCAGGCTGAACTACATAGGGAGACTGTCTCAAAAACAGAACAAAATCACCTAGAGATTCAGCGGGCGGTGCCTAGGATGCACATCCTTTAATTTCCGAAGAGCTGATTTAGCAAAGGCTGCTGGTGTTGCTACTTTTGTGTGCTCTGACCTACGTGCAGTGCTTTGTCACTGTGGAACCATTTCTCAGTTTATGCTGGGTCTTTTGTTGGCATGAGCTTGCTCTGAGCACAAAGCAATAAATGCATGTCACTTGCTACTGGGTACACACTGGGAAACTCCGTTGCCATACACAAGAGCCTGGCCACATCCACCCTCTCCACTGTAACACCTTTATCTGACTTGGGGGGAAGTGGTGCCTTTTACACTCAGATGAGGGATTAGGACAAGCAGCTTCACTTTTTTTATTTTTACTTTTGAGTGTAACACTCAAAACTAGTTTATTTGATTACTAGAGGAAAGCTTAGTCTAATTAGACTCTTAGTGAGTCTCTTAGTACTGAAAAAACTATAAAACACCATTCAAATGAAAAATAACTGCATCTGATCAATACAACTGACCTGTCACTCAGCAATGGAAGGAAATCAGACTTCTTATCCACTCTTAGTAGCTGGCACATGGCAGATAACTGCTCAGTAAACAGTTATTAACAGAAGGACACACGGCTTTGTTCCTATGTACTGATGCCCAAGTCAACATTTCTCTTGGGAGCTCTCCTAGCTCTGACCCCCAACATGCACCTTTTCTCATGCTTCCTGCATGTGGAGAAGCTGCAGATACTATAAGCGCCTGATGCTAAAACTGAACCTGTCTCCTTAATTTTAAAGCTCCAAACCTCCCCAATGCCACGACTTACCACAAAGTTACACCAATCATGACAAAATAGCATTGGTACAAAAACAGACAAACCACCAAAGTACAATATAAAGTCCCAAAAGAGATACCGACATAACAGACATTTAATTTTTGGCAAAGATGCTAAAGCAATTACATGGAAAAAGGACTGTACTCTATACGGGAACAACTGGATATCCACATGCAAAAAACCCAAACCTTATAGCACATCAAAAATGTCTTAAAACATCTAAAAGCCAACTCAAAATGGCTCACAGTGGGTTAGATAAAGAGAAGGTAGGTATGGCCTTAGTTGTTGCTTGGCTGAAGTCATTCTCTCTGGGATAAAATACATCTTTTTTCCTTATCATACTACTGACATTACAATGACTATGCATGTGTAACATTTATTTCACTGTTTTCAAGGCACATCCATTTACTTATAAAAACGTTCACTTTAACATTCTTTATGGCTGAACAGTATTACATTACATAGAAATATCACATCTTTTTTATCCCTCCTTCAGCCGATGGCCATCTTGGTGGTTTCCAAGATCTAGCTATTATAAACTGTGCTGCTATAAACATGGGTCCACATATATCACTGTGGTATGATGTTTTTGTGTGAAGATACCCAGGAGGAGAACAGCTGGGTTGAATGGGACCTCCAATCCTAGGGGTTTTTGTTGTTGTTGCTGTTTTGATCTTGAGACAGGGTCTTGCTTTTGCAGTACAGGCTGGCCTTGGGCTCACTTTGTAGCCTAGGCTGGTCTCAAACTCACAGTGATCCTCCTGCCTCAGCCTCCCAAGTGCTGGGATTACAGCAGTGTACCATCAGGCCCCGCACAATCCTAGTTTTTCGAGGAATCTCCATACTGATTTCCACAGTAGTTATACCAGTCTGCATTCCCACCAACAGTGGACAAGGGTTCCTTTTCCCCCACAGCCCCTCCAGCTTTTGTTATTGGTTGATTTCTTAATACCAGACATTGTTTCTGGAGTGAGGTGGAATCTCAGTGTTGTTTTAATCTGTATTTCTTGAATGGCCTGTGCTGTTGAAGCAGCTTCACTTTTAAAGAAAATCTTAAAATCTTAAATTTTTATCCCCTAGATTACAGGCCTTCTTGTTACTAACTGCTCCACTCTCTCTGGTTAATCTCACAAACAGCTCACGAAAGTAATAAAGCATTCACTACATTCTCTAATCTCAAATTACACATAATGACACAGGAATTACGATTTCCACATTCTTTAATTTTCTCTGTTCTTGACAGAGGAGATAACTTTTAATAGCAGTACAAATAGTTACACAAGAAATTAATGACATGTGCTAGTGGAAATATAGAGCATTTACCTGCCCATATGTCTGTACAGAAATAAAGGAAAACATGAAATACTTCCAAGTCACAAACCTGTGGACATGTCTAAAGATGAGGCATGGTCCTTTCTTTCCAGACTTTCTCCGTACTGTTACCACAAACTAAATCCTGGATACTATGATGATAATTGCTACAGCTAAAAAAATAAATTGCCACAGCGACTGTTTTACCATAGTTTACAGGTATAAAACAATTGCTTTCTTTTTTTTTTTCGGTACTGGGGATTGAACTCATGACTGCCTGCTTGGAAGGCAGGTGCTTATGCCGCTGAGCTAAATCCCCAGCCCCAGGTATAAAACAATTTCTAATGCTACCACATGTAGGTATTGTAGAAAACTAGTTAATGTTGGTTAAAGAAACCTGAACTTAGCATTTCAGTCTCACTAAAACCACTGAAAAGTTACAACCCAGCTGGCTTGAGTTTGCTTGTCCTTAAAGCTTGCACATTTCTCTCTTGGCTGCAGCTTGGGACATTGGATTTCAAGCTATGTGCTGTTCCCCAAAAAGAGGCATGACTGGCTTTGTGTGCGTAGACTGTTCCTCTCAGCAATGTGGCTCCCGTGGGCATCTGCCAGTCTTCCCAAGGTCTAGAACCGCGTGTGCCACACAGCATGCCCAGTGCCAACTCTCAGCAACGAGGACTGAGTGGGACTTCCCATTAGACATCTCACACAGGTTGTTCCAAGTTCCAGATGTAGCTTAAATTAAGCACAACTTACATTGGTTGCATACTTTCATCCTGTAAGACTCTTCTTTCTGCCCTTTAACAGAAATAAACCACAGCCATTTAGGATGACAAAATGGTGAGTCCTGTGAGTCTCCCTGGAAATCATCAAACCTGGAGGTGTCTTTAGGACTCTGACATAGCCACTCATGAGTTTTAAAACTTTGTACACTGATATCAGATACCTGGAAAAGAGCCCAATTGTCTGTGTTAAGGGTATGGCGAGAGGCTAAAATTAAAAACACATGAGTTTAGTAATTCACAAGTGGCTGGGAAGTCCATGTTCCCCGATGGGCCAAGCCCCGAGGC